CTTTCCCTATCTTTACTCCCCTCTATTTTCCCGTTCCCATTTCTTTCACCATACCCCCAAAAGGACAAACAGTGACAACAAGAAGTTACAAAGTGAAATGGCATTCTTTTAAAAAAGTCATGCATATTTGCACTCACATCTAATTAAAAATGACAAACGGAGCTTTGTCATAAATCTGTTTCTCTGTTGCTTTGCCCTCGGAATTCATTCATAAGAGAAGACTGTTAGTGCGGACAGACGGGGGACATCCAATAACAAGCAACATCCGAGATGAAATACATTTTAAAAGTTAATTAAAAAGCAGAGCAAACAAAAGGACCACAAACTGCGGGGACACAGGGGGGGGGACGGGGACAGTCTCTCTTTAAGCTGTTTTGCAGTTTTTTTTAGAAAGTTGTGTTTGTCTGAAAAACATCTGCAGTGTAGCCTGTTCAGCTAACCACACACTGGCTGTAGAGACAGACAAATACTGTATATCAGTGCACAACTTGTGCAGTCAACACAAAAACACACATGTTCTCAAAACAATAGCTGGAGGTCTCAGTGCTGGTCCTGTTAAGTCTGGGCTGCTGAGTCACACACACAAACACATCATCTGCGTATTGTCGGCCACGCAGCTGAAAATGTTTGACAGAGCTACTTAAAAAAAAAAAAACCTTTATTGACTATAATCATAATCAGTGATTTTTTTTTTCTCCGTGCCAAACAGTGACGTCCTCAGCCAACCTTGGACAATTAGCTGGCCACCCCAGAGCAACTGTCCCCGGCAGAGTAGACTGAATTACAAAAAAAAAAAAAAAAAAAAAAAAAGGAAGAGTCACGGACATAACCTAGGAAATTACCATGTTTTTTTTTTTGTGATGACTAAAAGAAAAGGATCCGACCATCCAACTGTTGATGTTACAGTGGTCCATTAGAAACACAACACAGAAGAGTGAAGATCTGGATGAATGACATGTACTGGACATATGCTCCAGTAGTACAGAGGGAGGACAGATTGAAGGGTCTCCCTTTACCCATCAGTCCGCCTTCGCCCTGGGTGTCAAACAATACAGCCCATCTAAAAAAAACAACAGCACTCAGTCGGAGTCTGGCGTGTTGGCTTTGGTGCTTTTCTCTGCTGGATGCAGCTGGGAACTGTGAAGAGACAGAAGAGGCCTGGGGGGTGGGCTGGGAGGGGGGTGGGTTGTTAGTTGTTCCCTCTCCCCCTGTTTGTTCACACGAGTTTAGTTCAGTTATGTGGACGTTTTATCGCGATACTGATCATTTATCGTCACGGCATCGTGCCTTGCAATGTAGCTCAAAGTGGTTTTAAAGTTCAATTAGTTCAACTCGACTTTACCAAGCTTGCCTGTAATCCCCCACCCTCCACACTCTCTTCCCAAACCACAAAGCCAACAACGGCGCACACGGGGCTGGAAAAACCAAGTTTCGTTCAACTCCTTTACCATTTTAGTTTTCCAGCCAAACTTCATGGTGAGCGTTTCTTTCATGATCCAGAGGCAGCATCAGAGCTCAGAAAAATAGTCCCAGCAGGGAAAAAGAAAGAAAAAGTAAAAAAAAAAGAAAAGGCAAGCCGTTTCGGGAAATCTTTCCAGGATCGATCCGCAACGCAGCTGTTCTCTTCGGTCAGCACTTCTTTCCCCCAAAACTCCGCGGTTCGTCTTCTCTTTGTATGGATGTGTTTCTGTTAGTGCGAGCGACCCATCCACTATTCCAGGGAAACAACCCTCAGAGCCCTCCCCACTCCACTCCACTCCCACACACAACAGTCCCGTCCGAACTCCTCCTCTTTTAGTCCCACTTTCATCGGACTGTGAACAACGACCGCGAAATGACGTGGACCTGTGATCAGTTTGCACAACGCGAAGATAAATCTCTTTCATCTAGACTTATGTAACGTCGATATTCATTCATTCTTAACGGACTGTCAAAAAGACTATAAATAAGAAATATAGGACACGCATGATGACGATGATGATGAGAGAAATGATCTGTGAGTGTTTTTGTCCAAACCTTAAATTTCATTTTCTTTTCTGTCTAATGCATTTTTAGACAGCTTTAATAATTATCAGTGAGAAAAATTTTTTTTTGCAGACCAGTTAGGACAGGGGTGTCAAACATATGGCTAGCATTTTTAGACAGCTTTAATAATTACCAGTGAGAAAAAAAAAATTGCAGACCATTTAGGACAGGGGTGTCAAACATATGGCTAACGGGCCAAAACCGGTCCTCTAAGGTAGGGGTCCCCAACACCAGGTCCGGGGAGACAGTGAAAAAATACACTTCACTTTTACTACTTTACTTCATTTAAAGTCATATGCTAGGGTGTTCAATCCTGCTTGATTAATTTTGGAAAAAGAAAAAAAAA